ATTGGTATGACAAAGTCATGCTATAGATTACAGGCCACACATTTCTATTTAAGGATCAGGAACACTGAAGATACTTGTCTGACTTTGACCACTCCTTCCACCCTGTGGCTGTCACAGAAAATTTTCTGAGACTCCATATGGTTTTCTTTTTCCTCCTAACATCTTTCCTTGGATCATAGTACCAGGACAGGAAGAGATTTGAGCACCAAGCCTATGTTACATGATCCCTTTTTGATTGTCTGAGAATGATAAATTATTGCCAAGTTCTAGGTTAAAAGTATGGTTTGTATAACTTAGCATTACAGGTCAATTAAACACAATCTAAGCTATCAACTATGATTTTGGAAGCCTTTGAATATGTTGTCAGACAGTAACTGCCCTACTTAATACATGAACTTGAGATGTTTTATCTTGATAGCTCCTTAACAAGCTGCTGTGACCATAAGGCACTGGAATGTTTTCTGCTTTCAATTCACTCTGAAAAACATAAGATAGATTAGAAATTTACAATTGTCAGTTCTTGGAACATACTAAAGCTTGAAGGGACTTGCTGATTTCATATATGTGCCCTTGGTTGAATGGAAAATAATAATGTCAGGCATTATTAAAACTACTTTCTCCAGTACTGTAATGGCAAGATATTTGGATGACCTTCTATCAGAAGGAGATGGGGGAGGTTGTGGCTCATGATGATGTCCCATGTTGAATTACATAAATAAAAAGTGTTCTCTTTTATTGCTGAGTCATATTCTATTATATGGATGTTATAATTTTTGTTTATTCATTCAACTCTTGATGAACATTTGGGTTGTTTCGAGTTTTGTGCTGTTTTGAATATGTGCATAGACTTATGTTTTCATATCTCCTGGGTAAATACCTGGGAATAAACCTGTTGGTAACTTCCCAACAATTTCACACATGACTCTACCTGTTAACATTCTCAAAATGCATGAGGACTCTACTTGTTCCAAATCCTGCCTAACACTTGACAGACTTTTTGATTTAGCTATTCTTAATGTGCGTGGTATATCATCATGGTTTTAACTTGCATTTCCCCAAAGACTAGTAGTGTTGACCAAGAGTTTGAAAACAATGAACTGGTAGCTAAGTCAAGCTGCCTATTTCTGTAAATATAGTTTTATTGGAACACAGACACATTCACTTGTTTACATAATGTCTATAGCTGCTTTAGTGCTATAGTTGAGTTGTTTAGGCAGAGCTGAGTAGTTAAAGTAGATAGAAAGCCTCCAGGCTGAAAAGCCTATAATATTTACTATTTGACCACTTACAGAAAACATCTGATGACCTTGAGTATCTTTTCATTTGCTTGTTGGTTATCTCCTCTAGTGAAAAATCTATTTGAATCTCTTGCTCTTTTTTGTCCTCTTACTGAATAGTAAGCATTATTTTAAATATTATGGATATAAGTTCTTTCATTGACATATGTATTACAAATACATATAGACATGAAAGAATTCCTTCTACTGAAAGGGCTGTAATGGTAATTCCTTTCTCACCCATCATGCCTGGATGTCTGCAGGAGTTGAACTGGTGTAAGTACCACGAGTTTGTACTGTGCGTTTGGTCAGAGCTTCATTGAAACTGACCACAGCCACTCAGAACTCTGGGTTCAACATGAAATGTTTGCTTAGTACTTGTGCCCACAACAACAGCAACACACTTCCTTGGTCTGATGCAGAGAATTCTATGAACTTATAGGGTCTACCTTTTGTCTGGTTTTCTAACCTCACTACCTCTCTTGTTATTTTTAATGCCCCAGAGCATGTATTTACTTTTGAAAAGTAAAAGAGGATTAATTGTAATTTTGTTTTGAAAGACTTTTTTTCTTAAAGAATTTCACAACCCCCTTTGAAATATTTAGAGATTCCCTGGAGTGTTGCAAAGAGAGGATTAGAAATAATTGTCATAGATCAAATATTCCACTTTGCCAATATGCAGTCTTTTTCTCAGCCATACCAGTATTGCTTTCCTGAAAGGTTTACATTCTTTACTTTGTATCTCTCTTGGCATTTGCTTTGAACAGAATCGAACCTGGGACCCTTCAGTCCGAGGGCTGACACTCTATCTACTCAGCCAAATCAGCCAGGGCTATTGATGCATTTGTTGACATAGATTATTAGGAAAAGGGAAAAAAGACTGGAGATATAAAAATTCCTGTGCAAAGGAAATGAGAACACTCCCATTTCAGTTGGTCAGTGATTCTGTTTACAGCCTGCCTTTTTCTCACTTGGTGTAGCCATCCTGTCCACCGGCCAAGAGGAATAATAATGTGATACATCATGCCAAAATTTATAGCAAAGGTCTAATGTGATAATGCTGTGACTCTTGGCTCTTAGTCAAATGTGTGTGTAGCCCAAACACACTAAGATTCCTTACAAGGTGCTGAAACAGGCTGTCTGTGTTTTCATTTATTGTGAGGCCTGATAATGTTCTAAGGTAACAGAATATGTGCTTGACTTATATTTACTCCATTTAGTGAGCAGGATGGAGTAACTCTGGGGTTAATTTAGTCACACAACTGAGATGAGAAAAGTTGGCTTAGATAAAATCTGTTGTATCTGAAGTGTAAATCATCTCATCAAAATCTAATAAAGTTAGGACAAAACATCAGAAGTTAACATCAATTTAAGTTTTATGGTCTGGGGGCTGGCCACTCCTTACTCTAGTCCTTGAGTCTAGTGGGTAGTAACAAAGGTCTCAATAAAAACAAAATAAGCCCAGCCTAGAGAGAACCTGAGACCCAGTTTTGAGCCTGAGATCTGACTTGAAGAGTGTCGGGGTATGTCTATCTTTAATGTAGCTGTTTGGACTAGGTGAACTGGACTAGGTAAGTCTTCCTCAGACTTTAGAAACCCAATGTCTCTGGGTTTCAATTTTGTTACAATTATAAGAATAGCTATCTGAGAAGCAAGAAGTTCATGGAAATAACATCAAATTCTTGGGAAGTACAAAGTACTATGCATATATCTAGTAGTATTGGCTGCTGAGGTAAAAGAGTGGTTCATTTCCACAACCTGGTATCCAAGAAGGGGCTGTGTTTAGTTTTTTAAAGGCCTAATATAATCCTGTAGTGTAGCTATATTGAGGTGGTTTGGGCTGATTTTGACTGGAATATGATGACTTTGGGAAGCCCCATGCTGTTCACAGGTGCTGACTGGTATATATACAAGTCTTTTATTAATGAGGAAGGAAATGTGAGATGTTAAGTTAGTAATTGCAATTTTCTGAATAGGTACAATATTTTAGAAACATGAAATTTCTGTAGAATAAAGGAAGAAGATATTTGAGGTTCACAATCTTTTATCTAAAACTTTGAGCCAGACATTTGAATTCAGAAAATCTTTGGATTCTAGAAATGTATTAGGATGCCTTGACCCATGGTTGGCAAACTGCGGCCTCTTGAGTGTGGCTCTTCCACAAAATATCATGGCCTGGGTGAGTCATTTTGAAGAAGTGGCATTAGAAGTTAAAGTTTAAAATTTTGGCTCTCAAAAGAAATGTCAATCATTGTATTGTTGATATTTGACTCTGTTGACTAATGAGTTTGCCGACTACAGGATTAAAGCATCATTCCAATATGCAGAGGTTGCTAGTTTGATCCCCTGTTAGGGCACATACAAGAATTGATGTTTCTCTCCCTCTATCCCTCTAAAATCAATACATATAAATTTTAATGCCTTCATGACTGAATTAAGTTTGCTCTTCTCACTCTACAATCTTTCTCAGAAAATTCAGCCAATGATCATTTATAAATGAACTAGAGGCCTGGTGAACGAAATTCGTACATGGAGTCGGGGTGTGTGTGTCCCTCAGCCAAGCCTGCACCCTCTCCAATCTGGGATCCCTCTCACAATCCAGGACTGCTGGCTCCCAATTGCTTGCTTGCCTGCCTGATTGCCCCTAACCGCTTTTGCCTACCAGCCTGATCACCACCTAACCAGTCCCCTGCCAGCCTAATCACCCCCAACTGCCCTCCCCTGCTGGCCTGGTTGCCACCAATTGTCCTCCCCTACAGTCCTGGTCACTCCAACTGCCATCCCCTGCAGGCTGCCCCCCCGCAACTGCCCTCTCCTAGAAGCTAGTCCCCCACAACTGCTCTCTCTTGCAGGCCTTGTCCCTCCCAATGCCCTCCTCTGCAAGCTGGTCCCCCCAACTGTCCTTCCCTGCAGGCTTGATCACCCCCAACTGCCCTCCCTTGCAGGCCTGGTCCTTCCCAACTGCCCTCCCCTGCCAGCCATTTTGTGGCTGCCATCTTGTGTCCACATGTGGGTGGCCATCTTGTGTGTTGGAGTGATGGTCAATTTTCATATTACCTCTTTATTATATAGGATGATATCAGCTGGATCTATAGCTCACTTCCTGAGTATCAAACTAAGCTATTTGACTTACAGTTGGGCATCTCCATGTAATTGTTTCACTGTTCCAGTAACCTCCAAATAGAACTAAGCATTTTTCTCCTCCACATTTGTCCTTCAGAATTCCCTATTCTACCATCTCAGTTACCCCTAAGCTGAACTCTTCCCATTTTCCTCTATCTTCAACTCTGTAATTATAAAGTCCTGTGGAGTGCAACACAAGAGCAGCACCGAGGAAGCTGGGGTTCTCCCAGTGCAGTAATTTAATTTACCAACCACAGGTCTTGTCACCATTCCCAGACAGCATGTATAAAACAGAGGTACTGACGAATTTGTGGATAGCCAAAGTAGCCTGAAATCCCACCTACCTGCTCAATGGAATATGGCTAAATATTAAACCCTATCATTTACCTTGTATTCTAGACTAATTTATGTGTTAAAAAAAAACAAAACTGTTTTCTGTGACCTCAGAATTACCTGTATTTCCTCTATTCCTGGGGGTGTGTCATAATATTGAGTAACTAAGTGTATAACATATTTTCCGATAACAACTAACCTTTGCTCCAAACTTGTGCTGGGATGTTCATGAGTAACAGCTACCTGTTTTTTTATTCCCACCTTCAGGTAAAAGGCCAAACCTGAAAGTCCACATCAACACCACAAGTGACTCTATCTTCTTGAAGTTCCTGCGTCCAAATCCTAATGTAAAACTGGAAGGTTTTCTTCTGGGATATGGCAGCAATTTATCACCAAATCAGTACTTTCCTCTTCCCCCGGAAGGAAAATACACAGAGGCGCTAGTCGGTAAGATGCTTGGCTCTCAGGTCTGGGAAGGAGAGCTAAAAATAATGGGTGTTTTATACAAAAAAAATACAAAAAAAAATTTAAAAAAATTTAAAAAAAATGGTATGAGGTCAACACCATTTCTTCTCTATCCTCAGCTGAATTGAATAGCAGAATTACAAATCCTCTTCATAATTGTTATCCACAGCACAATTCCTTACATCAAAGAATATGTAATGCATATTCTGCATGTACTACAGAAATCATCAACTTCATTGCCATTATACCTATAATCCCTGAGCACATACTTAGATTGCATAGAGAAAAAAATAAGCTGAAACACCTGGTTTAAATCTGTAATATAGCTTATGTGGAGTAATCCTCCCACCTCCCCCAACCTCCAGTACCTTAACTTTCTTCTGGTGGAAAATAACAATTATGGCTTTCTGGGTGTCTCTTCATGAGAAGCAACTTTTACAAATGTTATTCATGCATAACCCATGGACAAAAACAATAGGGTGGTGGAGGGGCAGAGGCAAGCTATAAGGGGTCAATGGGGGGGAAATGGGACATATGTAATATTTTCAACAATAAAGATTTAAAAACAAAACATGAAAAAATAAAAAGAGGAAAAATAAATAAAAATGTTATTGCTAGAAGTGTGGGATCCTCTTCCCCACTGGGCGCAGGGGGATGGCAGCCTTAGGATATCTAGAGGCAAAGTATCTCCTTCATGAGGGAGGATGTGTGATTTTTATTTGCATTAAATTACAATCCCTGGGTTTCCAAAGTCCCATTTCCTTTAATCCCATCCCGAAAGAAGTGCAGCTGGGAATTGAGCAGATCTAGAAGCAGAGCCCGTGTCCAGAGCTTCCATCCCATGTTGGAATTGGGTCTGGTACAGCATCAGGCTGGTTCAGGCCATCAGGCCACTGTTTGGGGTCCATATGGCTGTGGGAGCTTTGGGCAAATGCAGGAGCATGAGAGCCCTGCAGATCAGGAGTCAACCAAGAGAAACCTGGAGTCAAACAAGAGCAAACTAAGAAAGCATGAAGCGAGAGAGTGAACTCCTTTGTATCTCAAACCTTCTAGTGCTTGCAGGGGCCATGCCTACTCTAGCCAATGACCTGTTCCCATATGTGACTGACAGAAAGTACCTCCCTGTGTCACCCAGACTTTACTAGTCATGCTTCTATTCTCCACCCCATTCAGTCCCTACACCCAGCCATTGGTGGGGAATAGACCCTCCTGGGAAGCAATAAACTATGCTTCTTGGCAAAGCTGCACAAATTATATGCTTAGGCCAGTGGTCTGCAAATTCATTAGTCAACAGAGTGGCAAACAGAGGCTCACAAGCCGCATGTGGCTCGCGAGCCGCAGTTTGCTGACCACTGGCCTAGGCTATTTGTCCTTCACTGCTATGATTATTGCTAAAGAGCTTTTAATCTCTTCCTAAGCAAAGGAAGGACAAATTAACTAGGTTAATTACAATGGTATTCAAAAGAAAAGAAAAAAGTATTACATTTTGAATTTTTTTTAGTATGTCAGACACAAAGATTAGAGTTTTCATTTATAATAAAGTTTAACATTTCACTGAAAATGTTTTTAATCACATTAAAATATAATTTGGAGGATGCGGGCTGCTTCAAGTCTTGTTCAGTAAAATTATTTGTAGATAAGACCTTTTTAAAAAATAACATTAAAAAAAAGAGGTCATCTATTATGAATGCTCTCAAAGGCTTCTGAACAGTCTGAGATTTATATTTTGCTCCACTGCTATGATTATTGCTAAAGAGCTTTTCCATGAACTTCTGATATTTAAGCCCGTAACTTGAACTATTGTATTTCAGATCTGGCATTTATTCATATGTACTCAGAATGCTGAAGATGAATCTGTTTTGTCCTGCAGCTCCTTGCTTCTCATAGAGAAGTCTCAGTTATACTTTAAAATCAAGCAAGGGAGTAACATTGTTAATTAAGTGTCTAGACTAGATTTTTATGTAAGATAATCACTTTAATAAAACAAACAAATTATAGTTACCAAAAAATTGAGAATAAGGAACTTTGGACAAATATAACCACATTAACCTTGATAATATAAGCCATAAGGAATTTGAAATTTGCAAATATTCACCCAGCACAGCCACTTTACTATAAAAAGTGACTGGACGCTGTATACTATAACTCCACACAAACAGAAACAGATCTACTGCTCCTGTATTTACTGAGCATTAGAAGTGATAGTTCACTTGTGATGGTTCACTAGTTAAATGATGAGGGATAATCAAATGGATGAGGTACCCTTTTATTTCTCTACTACTATTTTAATCCTTTAAGATATTTTTATTATGGAAAATTCAAACATTAAGGGGAGAGAATATTATAATGGCCCTAGTGTCTTATCATGCAACTTGAATACATATAACTTTTTTATTAATCTTGTTCCATGTATTCTTCATACACAGTATGTTACTTGAGTATTTTAATTGCATTGCTGGACAGGGACTGGGCCCAGAGTGGTCTGCCTTGAATTGGCCAGTCGGGTCTGGGTTCTTGACTTTGTGAAACAAAGATTTCACAAATGAGTTCAGGTGACTTTGAGGATATGTTTATTAAAGTTGGGGACAGTGAGACAAGGCAGGGTTTAGAATAGAAGCAGCAGCAGGAGAGCCTCAGCAGTGCTGCTTTGGCTCCTGAGAAATGTCATGGGAAAGAACAGTGCATTGTGGGTCCTTTGTTTTGAGGCTTTTAATCTCTTCCTAACTGGTGGGAGTCCTAAGAAAGGTCATATAGGAGGGTCTTGACAGAATATTCATTAATTTTCCAGGTGTGTCCTTCGATATGTTGATTGATCATATAGTAGGGTTAGGGTTTTTTGTTTTGTTTTTTTTCTGGTTAGTTTTACTATCAAAGAATGTCAATGAAGAGGGACAAGAACCTAGATCCCTTTGCAGTCTGGAATGTGTAAAGTATTTATTCCTTAGGGTCCTTGGTTAGGGAAGGTAAAACCTTGTGATTCATTTCTGGCTGTAAATTGCTCAAATTGTTTGGCCTTGTTTAATTATTTTTGTCTCAATTTCCACTTGTCAAGGAATTTCCCTAGCTTCTTACTATCCTGTTACAATTGGACATCAAATTTTTAAATCTATTTTTTCATTAAATCTTTATTGTTGAAAGTATTACACATGTCCCCTTTTTTCCCTCATTGACCCCATCTAGCCTGCCCTCATCCCAGGTCTTCACCACCCTACTGTCTGTGTCCAGGGGTTATCCATGTATGCATGCAAATTCTTTGGATGATCACTCCTCCCTTCCCCTCCCCCCCCCCCCCCCACACACCTATCCTCCCCTATCTTCCCTCTGAGATTCTGAAGTCTAGGCTTCTATGTCTCTGGATCAATTTTGTTCATCAGTTTATTTTGATCATTAGATTCCACATATGAGTGAGAGCCTATGAAAATTATCTTTCTCTGATTGGCTTATTTCACTTAGCATAATACTCTTCAAGTCCCTCCATGCTGTCTCAAAGGGTAAGAGATCCTTCTTTTTTACTGATGCATTGTATTCCATGGTATAAATGCACCACAGCATTTTTATCCACTCATCTACTGATGGGCACTTGGAGTATTTCCAGATCTTAGCTATTGTAAATTGTGCTGCTATGGACATAGGGGTGCATATATTCTTTCTGATTGGTATTTCAGGTTTCTTTAGTATGTAGCCCAAGAAGTGGGATCACTGGGTCAAATGGCAGTTCCGTATTTAACTTTTTGAGGAAACTCCATACTGTTGTCCACAGTGGCTGCACGAGTTTGCATTCCCACCAGCAGGGTTCTCTTTTCTCCACATCCTTGCCAGCATTTTTCATTTGTTGCTTTGTTTATGTTAGCCATTCTGACAGGTATGAGGTGTGAGGTGGTGTTTTAATTTGTATTTCTCTGATGATCAGCGATTTTGAGCATTTTTTCATGTCTCTTACCAACTGTTTGGTAAGAGACATGAAAAAATGTTTGTCCACTTTGGAGAAGTGTCTGTTTAGGTCCTCTGCCCATTTTATTAATTGGATTGTTTGTCTTCCTTTTGTTAAGTTGTATGAGTTCCTTATATATTTTGGACAGTGACCCTTGATCAGATGTATCATTACCAAATATGTTCTTTTATTCAGTGGGCTCCCTTTTCATTTTGTTGATGGTATCTTTTGCTGTGCAGAAGTGTTTTATTTTGATGTAGTCCCATTTGTGTATTTTCTCCTTAGTCTCCTTTGCCCTAGGAGATGTATTGGTAAACATATTACTACAAGAGATGTCTGAGATTTCGCTGTCTATGGTTTCTTCTAGGATTTTTATGATTTCTCAACATACATTTAAGTCTTTTATCCATTTTGAGTTTATTCTTGTGTATAATGTAAGTTGGGGATCTAGTTTCATATTTTTTGCATGTATCTGACCAATTTCTCCAACATCATTTATTAAAGAGATTGTCTTAACTCCATTGTATGTTCGTGCTTTTTTTGTCAAGTATTAATTGAGAGAAAAGGAGTGGTTTGGCTTTTGGGGTCCTTTCTGTTCTGTTGATCTATATTCCTGTTTTTGTGTCAATACCAAGTTGTTTTGATTAAGTGGCTCTGTAGTATAACTTGATATCTGGTGTTATAATCTCTCCAACTTTGTTTTTTGTTTTTGTTTTTTCCTCCAAATTGCTGCGGCTATTCAGAGTCTTTTTTGGTTCCATATAAATTTTTGGAGTATTTGTTTTATATCTGTGAAATACCAACAGGAATTGCATTGAATCTGTAGATTGCTTTGAGTAGTATGAACATTTTAATGATGTTGATTCTACCAATCCATGAACAGGGTACATTCTTCTACTTGTTTATATCTTCCTCTATCTCTTTTTTCAATGTCCTGTATTTTTCCTAGCACAAGTCTTTTACTTCCTTGGTTAAGTTCATTCCTAAGTATCTAAATTTTTTTGTTGCCATGGTAAATGGAATTATTTGTTTAGTTTGTCTTTCTGATTAT